TACATCCCAAGAAAAAGAATCCCAGGATTTTCCCTCCTGTGTGTCTTTGTCTCCCTTCTTCATGGTCCACGATGCCTGCTGAAGTGGTCTTTATGTGGTTTCTCTCTTTCTGCATTTTTCTACAGCCAGAAAGAGAAGCCATCATCCAACCAACACTGTAGCTCAGATTTCTTCCACCAAATATCCTCATTATCAAAAAGAAGTTCTCCACTTAGTTCTAGGACACAGAAATCATTCAGCCATATTCTTTGCCTCATGGTAACAAGGATGGCCATTTCCATCCCAGTCACCAACAAGACCTCCTCACTTCTAAGACCTCATGAAAGTGGCCTGTGCTGTGTCTCTAAAAACATCTTCTTAAAAGCCACTTATGTACGAAGACTCAGGCCTTCCCAACAGCTGTTCCCCAGGCCCTCCTCAGAATTGTCCCTTATGTTTGATTCAGAGTGAAAGGCTTCTCCTGTAACCCTATCAAAACCACTCCATCTCTGGCACCAGTGGTCCATGCCTGTAGTCCTGTGTACTCATGATCAGCAGGATCGCAGTCAGCAGACTGTATCTCGAAAATCCCATCACAAAGGACTGGTGGATTTATGAGAATCAACTAAATTTCGTCTTCTCTGTCAAAGAGCTAGCTCAGTAGAGCATGACACTCTTGATCTCAGGATCCTGGGTTTGACCCCCTTCCCCCACCCTCCATATCATACTATGGAATATGTCTGTCATTGTGTGGATATTAGCTAATTTCCCCTGCTGACTATGTGCTTGGTGGCACATCACCTGGCTGTAATGTTTCTGCTTTTAAGCAGAGAATTGTCATCGGATGTGCTAAATTCAAACTGTCAGTCTTAGGATAATCATTGTCCAAAGGAATCTCTGCTCCAAGGTCCCCTTGGCCCACCAGTTAATTATATACTTAGTGCTGCCATTTCAGGTCAAATAGTTATTTCAGGCCTCAGTTTCCCCAGAATCATAGAATTCCCACCTTATGGGTCACGTCTTTGTCTTTGAGTACACTCATGTCCATGCTCCCCAATCACGTCTGCTCTTCCCCCATGCCCTCCCCTAAACCTCAACCTTAGTCAGTGTGAAGACTGTGAACCGAGCTCCCTCCTTAGACCAAGGGGCAGCAGTCCTGCATCAGGCATAAAAGGGAGGTGGTCCTTCTACCCGTGTGTGTGTGTGTGTGTGTGTGTGTGTGTGCAAATGTGCCTGATTTGTGATCATGGCAGCACTGCAGTATTTCTAACAGAGTGGCTCAAAGTTTAGGCCCTGAGTTCAAATGCTGGTACGGCCAAAACAAAACAGAAAAAAGATAAACCACTCTATCATCTGTCCACAATCCAGTTCCAAAGCTACTGTCACATCAGAGGACATGTTGTACCAACACCCCACTTCTCTTTCTTCCACTCAAATGTTTAGTCTGTTTTGTGGGTGTATAAAAAAATTCACTAGCTTGGGTCTTTTATAGATAAGGATTTTAGCTTGCAGCTAGGCTCAAGTGGTAGAGCAATTAACTAGCAACGCTGACCAGGCCCTAGTTCACATCCCAGTACAGCCATAAAAATCAAAGTGAACCCTAGAAATGTTTCCTCACTTTTGGGGTTTGGAAAGTTCAAGGTCATGTCACCAGAACTTCATGAGGCCTTCATGTTATATCCTGACACATCAGAATGGGATTGGTCAAGAAATTCAAGCTCACTACTCTTAGAGTGAGCAAAAAGAGGCCACCTTAGGATTGAACCCCCAGCCTTGCAGACAGCTTACTAACACCCCACCACCCACTGGAGGGACCACATCTAGCCTTAAGGAAATGACAAGCCACCACCTTGAGAGGGGGTCCAGAGCTGAGCAACTTATCTACCTAGTTACCACTTATCTCCTCTAGCTTCCACAAGCAATGGTTGACTCCCCTCCAGAAGAATTTTCCCACCCAGCAGGGTTTCCCCTCCAGATGGCTCCCCTATATCCACTCCAAGTCTGTAAGTGGCTGGGGCTCCAGCTCTTTTGCTGGAGTCCCCCCTCCACAGGGTTGCTTCCCAAACAATAAACCCTGTGTTGTCTTTTGAGGTCTCTCTGCCTCTTCCATGTTTCTTTCATTTCTAACTACCACCATGGGCCCTGTGTAGAGGGGCATTAATGTGTGAGGCCCAGACCTCATCACATAAATACTGCTCAGAAGTCCCCACCTCCCAGTAACTTCTAAACCCTCTGTTTATAAGCTATTAGTGAACAATACACAGCATGTGCCTGAGAAGCAGAGTCTGCTCTTCTGTCTCACTTTCAGCCTTCTCTGCAGGTTTATAATCACCATTACCTAGTTTTGACATACCGTGTGGTGGCCCGTAATGAGCCATGTAGACTAAGTGCTGGACAAACAGAAATGATTCATTGTAGGACAGAGATGACTCATTCACAAAGTGCTGTTGGAATTAATGACCCTCCAGTGCCAAAAACAGACACACAAGAGACAAAGAAAATCTTGACAAGGCAATTTCTTTTGATCAAAAGGGTGCAAGCACATATTCATTCCAGCTGAGCAGACACGTGAGCACAAAATGGTTGGCAGTGACTTCTTCTTATACCTCTGACACAGTTGTACCTGCCCCTCACGTGGAATTTGTCCAGGTCAAAGGTTCACACTCTCCCTTGATTGTCTAAAAGGCTTGGGGATGGGTTAGGGCATACAGTTTGGCAGGCACTGGAGCCATACAAGAATCTGGAAGAAGAAACAGGGACCCTTCAAACATGCAAGTCACCTAAGATGGTGACCTGAGGAATTTTTAAGTAAGCTAAGAGAGTGACAAATACTTTGACAGAAAAGATCATTTTTCTTACACTGTGAAGAAGGGACACTTGTGCCACATGCTCAGGTTATGATAATGTGGGTCTTAGAATTACTATGAGTTGATACTTTGTCATTCTGTACCCAGGCATGTAAATGAGCAACGGAGATAAGGGGTAGAAAAACACAATCAGTTCTCCCAAGGTGAGAGGTGCCTCATTTACAAGGTGCTTTCCAAGAATGGATGCTTGGGGCACACTCACCCTTCTGAACAGGGGAATTTAGAAATGCTATTTCATGTCCACTGAAGTACTGGACATAGGGGTAGAGAGCAACAGAGAGGTAGCAGTTGAAAAGAGGAACATGGAGTAGAAGAAGCCTATGAGGACATTAGCACAGTTGTACTCAATGTTCTGTAGGCTGAATTCGACACAGCCCGAGCCACAGAATAAGGCTAGAGTAAGATGCAGAGCAGCTGCTTTTCCTAAGATATTTATGTCAAATATTCTGTAGGCTGAGTTTGGCACAGCCTCAGCCCCAGAAGAGAGCGAGAAGGCAAGATATCGCTCAGCTGCTTTTCCTAAGTTGTTTACATTCAGAGAAGCAGCAATGCAGGTTCCTCTTGGTACAATGTCCTGCCCACCTCGTTTACCACTGTGTATAAAAGACTCACTGAAGGAGGACTTGAGGCTTTTGGATGGGGGGAGGTTTTTTGATGGGGCTTTTGGCTGGAGGGAAATTGCTGAAAGAAGGATTGCTGAAGGGAAAAGAACTGCTGAAGAAGAATTGCTAAAGCCAAAGAGAGAACATGGGACAGTGCAAGTCTGCACTGAGAACTTTATACATAGGCTTTAGAAAAGCTAAGCTAAAGAGAACATACGACAGTCCAAGTCAGGGGGCAAAAGACTTTGAGAGAGATTATGCTGAAGAACAGCTAAGAGAAAACGTGGAAGTAAAGAGAAGTAAAAAGCAATAAGGCTGTTGTGCATCTCCATCCGAGCACCCAACACACCTGGCCCCAACTTTCTGTCTGTCTATCCTGTGTCCTTCCTGCATCTCTCACTGCCCCCAGTTAGCCCCAGTTAGGTTCAGTAATAACAAGGCAGTGAGAGACAGCTCACTCCAGTTCACAATGAAAGAAAGATGCATCACTCACACAGTGCTTTTGGGTGTTTTATTTCTTCATTTTCATTGGCATATATTCATTGTACAGGGAGGATTCATTGTGCCAATTTCCAATAGCCTTACATTGTACATTGGTTAGATTGCCCCTGCCCTGTCCCCCACACTCACACAATGCTTCTGCAAAGAGGACTGACACCCATGAAACCCCAAGCATGAATAAATTCCCCCTTTCAGTTGCTGTACCCAGATAACTGGTTACAATAACAACAAAAGAAAGTAATACAAAGAAATGTTTTAATTCCCCCAAATTAAAAAAATTCCCTCCTCGCTGACCCTACAACAGCATTTCAAAACTACATAAAAATTAAGCCTTTCAGCAAACCAGAAAAATATCTAGGTTTACACATGAACCAACATGGCTCAAAATGAAAGGAGAAAAACCCATAGATTACTTATTTTGTGGTACCACGGACTAACTCAGGGCCTCATGCTTGCTAAGCAGGTGCTTTACCACTTGAGCTACTCCACCTGCCTTTTTTTGTGAAGTATTTTTTCAAGATAGGGTCTCACCTACTATTTGCCCAGGCTGGCTTTAAACCATGATCCTCCGGATCTCTGCCCCCTCAGTAGCTTGGATTATAGGGATGCCGCCAAGCTCAAAATTGCTTTCCAAGGGAGAAAATAAGAAATAAATAGTCTAGAGAGGCACTTTAAGAATGAGCCACTAGAGACAGGTGCCAGGTCTCATACCTGGAATCCAAGCTATTTGGGAGGATCAAGGCTCAAGACCACCCCAGGCAAGTAGATGGAGACACAATCACCAAAATAACCAAAGCAAAATGGACTGGAGGAGTGGCTCAGGTGCCTTCTTCACAAGCTGGAAGCTCTGAGCTCCAACCCCCGAGACAACAACATAGATAGAGCCATTAGGACATAGCTGAAGTGGGGGAATGCTGGCATAGCAATTAGTAAAACCCCAGTACTACCAAAAAAAAAAAAAATTCAGCCAGTAGTAAAATGATAGAGCTTATATAATATTTTCTTTAGGTTGTGCAATTCCTAGATCATTGTAATAATTCTAGTTCTCCTAAGACTTGTATTCCTGTGATTTCAAACTAAGGAATTTTTAGTGTTACTGAATTTCCAAACTCTGCCCTAGACACCAAGAGTTTATGGAGAAAAGGAAATAAAGCTTTATTAACTTCCAAGGCACACTGATGACTACAGCAAGGTAGTGAGCCAAGGAACTATAGGAGTGTACCAAGGGAAAGTCAGAATTTTAAGTGAAACCCCAGGAATTTTGGGCTTTCTCACACTGCTTACAGACACAGGATTTCTCTCTAGTGTGAGTTCTTTCAGGTATTTCAATGTAACGAAAAGAACTGAAGGCTGAAGGCTTTCCTACAATGTTTACATAAATATGGTTTCCCCCACTATCAGTCACTGCATGGTAGTGAAGGGAAATCTTATAAAGAAGGCTTTATCACATTGCTTACATACCCAGCATTTTTCTCTACTATGAGTAATTTTGTTTTTTTTTAAACTAACATGTCACAACTGAAAACCTTTCCACATTGCATACACATACAGGGTTTCTCGTCACTGAGTTATTTCCTGCTTTCTTAGAAGACTGGAATAAGCAAAGGCTTTTCCATATTGCTTACACGTGCAGGGTTACTCTCCACTGTGTATCACCACTGCATGATATCAAAGGGAACTGGAATCAGTGAATGCTGCCCCACAGACTTACATACCTAGGGTTTCTCTCCTCTGTGGATCCGTTCATGTGATACAAGGGGACTGGAACGAGCAAAAGTTTTTCCACAATGCTTACAGGCAAAGGGCTTCTCTCCTGTGTGAATTCTTTCATGTGCCTGAAGAGAATAAGAATAAATAAAGCCTTTCCCACATTGCTTGCATTCATAGGGTTTTTCTCCAGTGTGGATTCGTTGGTGTCTTTGAAGACTCCAAAAGAAGACAAGGCTTTCCTACACTGCTTACAGACCCAGATATTTTCTCCACTGCAATTTCGTTTATGTCTTTGAAAGTTTCTAAACCAAATGAAAGTTTTGCCACATTGCTCACATACATGAGGCCTCTTTCCACTGTGATGTTTTCCATGGGCTCCCAACTCACTCGAAGACACAAAGGCTTTCCCACATTGCATACACACATAGGGATTCTTTTCAGTATGACTTCTTTCATGCTTTCTTAGAGAACTGGAACAAGCAAAGCCTTTTCCACACCGCTTACACTTGTAGGGTTTCTCTCCACTGTGTGTCATTTCATGGTATCGAAGGCAACTGGAATCAGTGAAAGCCTTCCCACAAGACTTACACACATAGCGTTTCTCTCCCATGTGGATTCTTTCATGTCTTTGAAGGAACCCGGAATGAGCAAAGGTTTTTCCACAATCCTTACAAGCACAGGGCTTTTCTCCTTTGTGAATTCTTTGATGTGTCTGAAGGACACCATTACGAGTAAAGGCTTTCCCACATGCCGTACATACATAGGGTCTCTCTCCATTGTGATGGCGTTCATGTCTTTGGAAGGAACTGGAAGAAATGAACACTTTCCCACACTGCTGACATTCCTGTGGTTTCTCTCCAGTGAGAGTCATGTCATGCTTCTGCAGGCACTGGGGAGAACAGGAGGCTTGTCCACATTTCTTATGTGTAGACAGTTTGTGTCCATGTTCATGACACTGTAATGTGCTTTGTCCAGTAGTAGTCCTGAGGGGGACACTTGGGGATGAATAAGCACTGAGAACTTTTTCACGCAGTGTTACTGCTGGACTAGTTTTCTGGTTCACAGTATGCTCTGGAGTCTGCTTGAAGAATCCTCCATAATGACTATCTTCCTTATGTTCAAAGAGTTTCTTCAACACTTGACTTCTGTGAAAAAAAAAAAAAAAAAAAGAGGAACTCAGTAAGATGTTGGTTGGTTAGGCTCCAGAGGCATGCCTTCCAGGCTAGCCCATAAAATTAGGGTGAAGCCCTTAATTCAAACCCCAGTCTTTCCAAAAAAAAAAAAAAGGTCTTTGTTTATTTTTGTTTTTTTGTTCATCAATGGCTTATCTGAAGCATGGCTGGCTCACTACAGAGAAAGTGGGAGGGCCTGAGTTGAAAGCCCAGTAACTAAGAGAGAGAGAGACACACACATTCAATGATTTTTAGACATGATCAGCAGAATGCCCTGTAGTATGGTGCATGCACAGCTGAGTTTAAAACGGTGACATTCATGTGCGTTCTGTAACCATATAGGCAAACACTGAATGTCTATGTCACATTTAGAAACGTTGCCTGTTTCCAATTCACAATGGTAGAGACCACAAGAAGCATGTTGGATGATGAAGAATTTGCATATATACAAGGAAATACATTGTAGATTGCTACCAGTTTACACAGAAATTCATTTCTGTTTCATATGAACCTTATACCCAAACACTGAAGGTCACTTAATGCTTTATTTTAAATATTGTACATATTGCAGTTTTTATCTAGAAAAACCAGAAAATGACACCTGTGACAGGAATAATCCTCTAGAGGTTTCTCATATTTGAACATTTTGCATTTTGGATTTTCTGATTATGGATCCTCAACTGTATGCTTTTTTTTTTTTTTTGCACTCAAAGACTCATGGGCTCTTAGAGCTTGACCCACTCTTATTAGCCAGTTTTTTGTGATTTTTTTTTTAAATAATGTGAACTATTTGCCTACTTGGCTTCATACTGTGATCCTCCTGAGTAGCTAGGATTACAACCGTGAGTCCTGGTCGCTGGACCCATGTTCAGTTGTGAAGAAAGTTTTCTGAAATTAAATTAATTTGAAGATACATGTATTTGCATCATTTTCTGTTTTTTAAAATGTCTTGTAGCCAGGCACCAGTGGCTCACACCTATAATCCTAGCTACTCAGGAGGCAGAGATCAGGAGGATCACAGTTTGAAGCCAGCTGGGCAAATGTTTGAAAGACCCTATCTTGATAAAACCTGTCACAAAAAAAGGGCTGCTGGAGTGGCTGGAGATATAGGTCCTGATTTCAAGCCCCCAGTAGTGCAAACTAAATAAATAAAATAGAAAATGTCTAATAATACCAAGATTATGAGTGCAAATTACCTTACTTGTCCTGAATCTTTTGTACTCATCTTCACTTTGTTCTTTGTGTGCTTTTCCTAAAATTTAGACCCCAAAAAACCATTACGAATTACAACATTATAGGAAAATTGCTAAATTCCTGATACATTCCTAGTATAAAGCCATCTTGCCTACAGCTCTTCTCACCAGAATCATGCAACAGCACTGACAACCCAGCAACACTTGCTCTGTGACTGAGTGAGGGAATGGTACTGTCTTTACCTACAGCAGCCAGGCTCCTGAAGGTTTCCAGCATCACATCTTTGTAGAGCTTCTTCTGGGAAGGATCCAGCAGAGCCCACTCCCCAGGGTGAAGTTCACAGTCACATCCTCAAAGGTCACCGACTCCTAAAACACCCCACATACATTTCCAGAAGGAAGGGTGAGACTCACAGTACTGGACTCCAGACTCAGGTCATAACCAGTTCACACGATGGTGTTTCCCAAATGTTCACTCTGCTGTGGTCACCACGCTCTTACACTCCACCATTCTCACACCCTCTCATGCAGTTCTGATAGTAGACTGGAACTATCTGCAAAGCAACTGCAGAACAGGTATGCCCTCTGAAGTGGGTCACTCAGATGTGGATGGGTAACTCTAATTTCTTTTCCTATCCCGTAACTCTAGCAGCTATAAACACTTCCTGCCACTTAGAGCCCACAACAGAGTTCACACCAACTCTCCTGAGACTGCATATTCTTCCACATGCCACTGCTCCTGGTGTCTGAAAGATCTTACTGGGACAGACATCTCACTGGCCTAATTATAAAGATGCCTTGATTTTCTCAAAGTGTTGAGTAAACAATTTGCTATTTGTTCAACACCTGTTTTCCCGCTGAATGTCTGCCATTTTACGACATGTTCATTTGATGGAGTCTGGTGATTAGAACCCAAAATGCCCCCTGGATAATGAAACTCTGATGAGCAGAAAAAACTTAGCACCTTTACACAAGTTGCTTCTTAAAGCCCTAGACACAGGATACAGGGGTTCAAATCCAGAACTGGGCAAACGATTCAAAAGACCCCTTCTTAACAATACCCAACACAAGAAAGGGTGGTGGAGTTGCCTGACTAGTAAGAAAACCCCAGTTCCACACACACACACACACCTGGCTCCTTAGGGAAGTGAGCCCATCCTTTGTGACTTTAACAGAGAAACTGGATGTTTGTACTTGTCTTCTTGAAGACTACTCTGAATGGAAAACTGGGTAAGACTCAGAAAGGATAATTCAGTATGCCCACAAATAAAAATTATACCTTTTATTTGGGATTGTCAACAGGTAAAAGAAGGAAAGGGATGGCACATATCCTTAGAAAGAGCTCACTGTCACCAAGATTTGCCAGCTACACAGATACGTGAAATTCTATAATTTCCAAAGCACACCTTTAAACAGTCCAAAAAAAAATTTTTTAGCAAACTTACTAGGTATAATAAATGCCTAACAACATTGAAAATCTTCAGATCTATCTAACCCAAATAAAAGACTTCCTGAAAGCAAACAGGTGAAACTCATTGTAATATGTTTTACTTAATCCAGTATCCCCAAAATATTATCATTTCAACATCTAATTTTTTTTTCTTTGAGACAGTGTCTTACTATGTAGCCCAGACTGGCCAGAAACTCACCACCCTCCTGCCTCTGCCTCCTGAGTGCTAGCTGAGTGCTAGGATTACAGGCATGTACCACCAAGCCCAACTTGATACTTTACATTCTAAGTCTTTTTAAATCTGGTGTGTACTTTGTACTACACTATGGTGCGTCTTAATTCATAGGATAAATATTTATTGGAAACACTTGGCCTCTTTAGAAGTAGCAACCCAAGTTGCCTCAATTACATTTGACAGTTTTTCAATAACTGAGATGAGTATCCTTTAATTAAAAGTAAATAAAATATAAAATTCAGTCTCAGTGGCATTAGCCATCTTTCACATACTCAGTAGTAGTGTTGGGGAATTACAGACATTAGGACATTTCGGGGATCACAGGAAATTGTATTAGCATAGCTCTAGGGGAGATAGTCCTACTGACTTTGGGAGGTGAGCAAGTCAATCAGCAAATGGCACCTATCTCCAGAGGTTACTGTGAGAAGTCACTGTGTATACATGTATGTGACTCCACACCCCCCATGCACACTATACTACAGCCCCTCCTGAGCCCCTAGCTAGGCATACTGGGAACTCAAAACTTTAATCCTCTTGCCTGTGCCACAGGCTCAGCCCCAGGCAGTCCAAGATGACTTGTCTCTGTCACCCCCATGCCTTTGCTCAGAGTGCCCTTTTCTCCTGCCAGTCTTTTTGTTTTGTTTTGTTTTCTTATGAGACAGGGTTTCACTGAGTACCCAAGGCTCGCCTACAACTCGCAATCCTCCTGCCTCTGCCCCCCCAGCACTGGGATTACAAGTGGGCACTACCACACCTGGTTCTGACACTGCCTTGATTTGTTCCTGACTGACATCACTGCTATAAGCTCCCTGTGCTCTCACAGCAGGAATGGTGCCGGAGAAGGCGGGGCAATTTTGTCTGTGTGTCTGTGTCAGCTGCATGGTGATTGGATTTGTACAGTTGTATACTGACACCCTTTTTTTTTTTTTTTTCAGATGGGGTCTTGCTTGCTAAGCATTTTGCTCTCAGCTCCGGAGCTCCAGTGATCCTCCTGCCTCCGCCTCCCGGGTTCCAGGATTATGGGGGAGGGTGGCTGCCTTTGAAATTAGCACTCCTTTTTCACTTCCTTTTGTTTTCTCAGTGTTTTGAGATAGGGTCTCCCTTTATTGCCTGGCCTGGCCTTGAGCTCACTAGCCTCCTGCCTCCGCCTCCCAGTGCTGGAATTATAGGCAGAACCACCATACCCAGCTTCCTAAATCATGACTTTCAGTAGGACTGAACATTAGGCTTTGTGGCAGCATTAGGTTGTGAGGCCTCTGTCTCTGACAGCATCTGAATAAAAAGACTAAAACTGCCTTGGGGACAGATCACTGAGTGTGTGTCCATGTGGCATGTCAGCACTGGAAGAACCACCAGACAGGATTTCCAGGAAATGTGTCTTGTCCAAATCAGCACAGGCCCCAAAGACTTCAGTAACGGGAGAAGACACCCTCACTACCATCTCAAGTATCACACACTTGTGTGTAATGATGGTGGGAATGCAACGGGGAACCACAGAAGATAAGTCAAAGGTGCCATCTGCCTGAGGTGTGTCTCAGAGAAATTAATAAAAACAGATAGAAGTCCAAATAAATAAAAAATAATAAATAAAAGTGACATCATTAAGTACATAGAAAATCCCAAAGGACCCACAAAACAGTGCTGGATTCCATAAGCTTACTTTACAAGAATCAATGGCTTTGTTATTATTTGCTGGACTTGGAAGCAAAACAGGAGCTGAGTACCGATGGCTCACACCTACAATCCTAGCTATTCCAAAGGCAGAGATCAGGAGAATCAAATTGGAAGCAGGCTGTTCTAAGCAAAGAGTTCAAAAAACCCTATCTGGAAAATACCCAACACCAAAAAAGAGCTGGAGGTGCACCCATGCTTCCAAGTGGTAGTGTCTGACGAGCAATGTTAGGCCTGAAAAAAAAGAGAAGGAAGGAATGGAGAATGAGAAAGAGAAACAATTTTCACTCTTCATAAAAGCCCATGTATGAAAAATGGTCAATGCCAGAGGAAATATAACACAGCATAGTCATTCAGCAATGTCCTGTAACTCTACCTGGACAAAAGGAATGAATTAGATCATTACCAGTGCAGACAAATCACACAATAAACACATCCATAAAAGGTCACATGATAAACTCAGACATTACCATCACAATTTCCCACTAAATTTGAATTTACCTATAATCTAATCTATACACCAACAGTTATTTCCCCGCACCAACAATCATTTTCCCATTCTATAAAAAAAAAGAAAGAAAAAAATCCTGATGCATTAGTACAGTGTGCCAAAGTCAAGAACAAGTATGTCACCATCAGAAGATAGTCATGGCTGGGCAACAGTGGCTCACACCTGTAATCCTAGCTACTCAGGAGAAAGAGATCAGGAGGATCCCAGTTCAAAACCAGCCTGGGCAAATAGTTTGAGAGACCCTATCTCGAAAAAACTCATCACAAAAAAGGACCGGCAAAGTGGCTGGAGGTTTAAGCTCTGAGTTCAAGACCCAGTACCTCAAAAAAAAGATAATCATGAAGCAAGCTGAACCCCACTGAATGAACAGAATAAAGATCCAGACATTCCCTTTCACCATGAGTGAGGGATCAAGGCAAAGGAACCGTAAATGGTTTAGAGGCATAATAATAAAGGTATATGAATGACAATACTATCCAGTACAAAATTCAAGAGGCAAAACCAGGTATAATTGTTCTTTGTGATTAAAGAGATACTGTCCTAAAATTCTACTCTGATGTCTTTTGGTGATAAAACAGGAGCCCTATCAGAAGACATACACAGTGATTCCATTATGCTTATATTCTCATTACATCTTAGTATGAAATGACTTATTTCAACAATCTCTTTTCTTCTTCTGACCTCGTCAGAACCTGCTTCAACCTGACCACTCAGGTTCCAAACAAGGAAACCACTGTCATGCACTAAAATCTTAAAATTTCTGAAATGTTTAAGTAACTGATATTTTATAGAAATGAGAGTGTACACAGGAGAAAAGAGGCAGCTAGGGAAAGCTGCCTGCTTCACCACATCACACACCAGAATCCACTCACAGGTTAAACACATGCTAAGGTTAGACACAAGTCTCTTCTGAAAAGATGAGACATTGTTGGAGAAAGGCTTGTGAAAAACAACCAAAGACACCCCTGTCTCTCCAAGATATCCAGGGGGGTGAGCAACACTGTGCCTGAAACCAGGACAAACACCAAATATTTTATGTAGTACAGGATCACACAAAGTCTTTTCTCTGCTGGAAGAACAGAACCAAGCGTTTCTTTCTTTCATATTACATCTCAAGACCTCAATTGGTAGAACTTACACTCTGAGGACACTCAGTGTTTGCAACACAAGGAGCTGCAGATGTCCACTTTAACCCCAGAGCTTGGAATCTTGGTAAACAGCAGTGATTAAAAAATTCCACAACCTGGGACAGCAACCAAGTGCAGACAAAGCCCTTCCCTTATACTTTCAAGAGTCCTCCAATTTATTTTTGTTAAATATACAATATGACACAAACTTCTCAAATTACAATGTTTAGTTTCAAAATCAGCTGAACTGAGCATAACAAACAGTTGAGAGGAAAAAAAAAACAACAGCTGACGGAGGTGGCTCACACCTGTGACTCAAGCTACTTGGGAGACTGAGAGGAAT